GTAATAATTTGTTTCTTATTCTTTTTTACTTTGTAATCACCTTTTTATTTTTTTATTTAATTATTTCATATTATTTTTTTTTTCCAATTTTTATTTATTTATTTTTTAATTTATCAATTGAATTTTTTTTCTCACCTAACTTTATTGCTATCACACAGAAGAAAACAATCCACTGTGTGATAGCAATTGGAGGTGACAGGTTCTCTTTATTGACCCTGTCACCTCCAATACAGGAGTTCTAGCACAGCACCGTGCTGGAACTCCTGTGACAGGTGAGAGGGGAAGAGCACAGCTTCTTCTCGGATCCCCGCTGCATACAGATGGGGAGAGCAGCGGGAATACAGAGAAGCCCCACCGGCGGGAGGGGAGGACATTTTTTTTTTTTTTTTAAGAGAAATTCGTTTATTAAAATCTTTTGCAAATTATAACATGATGGGCTGCAAGACTATCCAAGGATAAAAAGATGTCAAACTGCAACTGGGTATTAAGATACTATACCTATTTTTCCAGAAGAATACATTTAGCTAGAAAAGTAAATACAGTATGTGAAGAACATTACCTTTTGCCTCCATTAACACAGAACGGACATATACAGAGTTTTGCAGGATAATGGCTCTGCAAAATGTTTACAAATAGACCCCTAGATTCCCGTTCACACCTTCGCGTTCAGTGAATGCGTGGGAAACTTGGGAAAACAATGCATGCTTTGCCGCATGCTCACGGAACACATCCAAAACGTGCATCGTGCTTGAGGTGCCATTGCTAGTTAATGGGAGACCAATCTCACCCAGGCAAATGCAAGGTTTTCCCGTGCATTCACATGCATGAAAATGCACACAAACATGTACCGAAAAACGGAGAGCGAATGTAGCAGATTTTACCACATTGCATGCAACACCAAATGCGGGAAACAATTGCCTGTGAACGGGCATTCCCGCTGTGCAATGGTGTAAACGGGGACTTAAAGTACATCTAATGGCTCCTGTGTGGCAGTCTAAACAGGTCTCAAATCCAGTTTCATAAATGAAAAATATTTTTTACCTCCTTTGAGTCATCCAAATCCTTATTTAATTGTGCCTAATGCTGGGCACACACCTTACAACCATCGCAAGACTTTTGTCTTGCGATGGTTGTAAGGTAATAAAAAAACCTACGATCTGCCCATCTTGGACAGGCAGATCGTACTTGCGATGACCGCAATGCTAACCGAGTAGTGTGCGCTTGCGCACACCGGCCTGTGCGGCTTTTATCTTGCGAACATGCCACAAACCAGCCGAAAATCGTACGATGCTCGGCGGGTTTTCTAACATGTTCCTAAGATAAATGTCGTGCGACCTTACAGTAGCAGAGGTCGCACGCCTTCCACACACCTTGCGATAATCGTACGATCGCGGGATTTGCCGCGATTATCGTACGATTATCGCAAGTTGTGTGGGCACCTTTACACCCTTCCTCTCCCAAACACTGCAGCCAAAAATGGGAGGGTTTTAGCAGCACAGTCAGTTATGCCAATCCAGAAAGCAGTGGACAGGAGTTGGTCTATAGGATTGTGAATCATCAAAGGCAATGCCGATCTTCTCATCCCACTGTAGGGTAAGCAGGCACAGCCTACATGAGGGTGGCAACACTGCTTTGATGATGTAGCACGGTTGTCCCCACATCACAGGCAGCTGCATTAGGTGGACTTCACTGACAGGATCAACAACAGGTATTTCTAATACTTTGCAGAGGGACGAAGGGAAAACTAAATGTAAATGAACTTACAGTTAAGTGCTGGAGCACTTTTTTTTTTTTTTAATGGGAGGCAGTAGTCTTTAAAAGAGAACAATGGCCAAACCTATTTTGGCCATAGTTCTCTTCAGGGTCACAGGAGGACATTTACTAATGCCCTCCTGTGACCCAAAACTCAGCATATAGCATGCTATTGCCCACTATATGCTGACAGCAGAGAGCTGCACTGCAGCCAGCCAACTGTGCCAGCCCCCTCCCCGTCCGTCCCTCCAGCCAGTGCTGGGGAAACAGAGAGGGGAAGGAGGAATGCCTGGGGGGAGCGGTGACTGACAGTGAGAGTGGAAGAAGATCGGGAACTCAGTGATCAGTGGTTTATTAACACTCAATTCTCAATCAATAGAGCCGATGTGTGACAGCTTCAGTGTCAGTTGTCGGCTCTAATTATTGGGATTAATATATTTTGCTCTACCAATAATTTTCCTTAAATGACTGGGCCACTTGATCAGACTCAGAAGTAATGTTTTTCAATGTTATTTGGGGATTCACTGATAATAATAATAATAATAGAAAGGCTAATAGGGGTCCTTTGTTACCTCTATATGGGCTCATGATCTTTAACCATGTAACAATCTAAACCATCATGTAAGCTATGTGTTCAAAGGAATCGAAGGTAAAAGCTACAGTAGAGGATAATGTGCTGCTGTTTGTGTAACATTAGGAAGGAGTGCAGACCTTAGCAAATTGTTATTGTTGACCAAACTCATGTTCTAAAGCATTTTTATTTCTTATTAGATATGAGCTGTGTGATTATTCTTCAAGTCCAGCTCCTCAATTGCATGCAGCACAAACTGAATGTGAACATGATATTGGACCACAGGTACTAAAACTGTTGTATCTATTGTGTGATTCTTTGTACTCTAAAGTGTATCTAACCCAAGAACAAAGCTGAATTATATTGCAGCTTACCAGGCCTTAGATGTAGTAGATCCATAAGTTTTGTTTTAAACTCTTTTTTTAACCTTTTCTCCCCATCAGCTCTGCCCCAGGATCTTCCAATTGCTCTTCACATTTGTATGTGTGCATGCGTGGGGATACATGGTATTTTCTAGTTCATGTTATCAAACTTAAATTTTTTAAAACCTTTTTTCCCCCTTATTGTTATTACAAGGGGGCTGACAAAACAGCCCAGAGTTTGTGTTCATTCCCAGCACTGCTGCCAGCGAATTACATATGTTGCTGGCAGTTAAAGAATTAATGTATTCTAAGAAACGGATTTTTACGGTAAGCCAAAAATCCTATTTCTTATTTATAAATTAAGGGACACAGGATGTAATTCAGGTACATAGGAATGTCCAAAAGCAATCCAACCGAGGTCCAAGTTATCAATCGGTTATGTATCCTCCCAAACCTCTGCAGAGTTTGAACAGTCCATTGGACATTGGTCAGTGTGGAGGTCCGGTATTCTTTATGGGGGTGTTAGCACGTTTGGCAACATGAAGCAGGATAGTGGTAGAGATTGAAGTTTTAGCTTGCAGCGCCTGGATACCATGTTTTGGGACCAGGTGACCATGAGGACCAACAGACTTCCCTCACACTGACAAGTTGGGACGCCTCTCTTTGTGAGTAGGACTTGTTCACAGTTTTGGATTTGTGGGCCCATGTAACGATCGTGGCTGCGCTCCAACGTGGAGCGCAAGCCGCGGGACGGAAGTAGAGGAGCCGATGCGTTCCAGAGTGGAACGCATCAGCCCCTATGACGTCAGCAGCTCCTCCCACACCTCCCCTATAAAAGGCTGACAGAAAGATCAGTATGGCGTTCCACTATTGCCAGTGAACGCCAGCTGACAACCAGAGATCCCTTTCTTGGACTATTGGACCTGTTACCTGGAAGAACCCTCTTTGTGCTAGGACATCGAATAGCAAGTATAGCTCAGTCTGAGACAGCCTGTCCCAGATAGAGCTCTCTGAAAGTCATTACTTTTGATCTCATGCAAACTGCTGTTTGGACTGCCTAGTTTCCATCTGAGCCACACCAGTTAAAGGGGAAGTGCTGATATTCCTTTTGTGTGATACTCCTTACCAAAGTCTATTATTTGTGCCTGCTTGAATCAAGTGCTGATAACTCTTCTTGTTGGTACACCTTATCAAAGTAGTACTATAATTGAACCCGCTTGAACCACACATAACAGTTGTAACCCAGGTATGCTGTAAATACCCTGGGGCTACTCGTGTGCATCACCACTTAACCCGAAGTAATTGCGGCACATGATGGTAGAGCTCCTAACTCTCCGTTTATATTTGAGAGTGACGCCTGGAGCTCGACCCTGAAGCCGTACCCTTAAACAATTTCACCTGAGCTAGGCACACTCCGCAGCTGAGATTCATATATCCTGACCTAGCCGTTACAGCCCAGGACTTATGGTGGAACTGGATCTCAGGCTTTCCCTTGGATTTGTAGGCCTGAGAGAAACAAAAGGAACTCCTCAGTCTCAGATGCAGAGGATTTTCTGGACTGAGGCTTAGCCTTCTTTGCTTGGGCAAAAGGGTGCCCTTTTGCCAAAGGGTGCCCTTTTCTTCATAAAGTTGTTCAGGTATTCTCCAAAGAACAGTAAAAGCAGTAGTGTGTTATCATGCCTTGTGGTCCCCACCATGAAGAATAGGGAACATGTAGGCAGGATCCATAGAACATGCCCCCTGCAATGGTCTTCACCCTCCCAATGGCCATACTCTCTAGGGAGTCTCCAGGGACACTGTTCCACCAGATTGTGTCTTGTATTTGAAAAGACTCTGTTGCTAACTTGCAACATACATCAAAGATGTCTATGAAAGCATATCTAGCAGAATCTAGTGCTCCAAGTCTGTGCCAATAATCAGCCAATCCGGAAAGCTTTAAAATGACTGCAGTGACTCCACAATTGACTCATAAATCTTGCTACAAAGGTGAGAAAAGGGATTGCATCTGTCAGAGGAGAGAAGATGTCCATTCTCCTAAGGACACTATCAAAAAACAAGGCATGTTGGGACTGGCAGGTCCTTACGGCTCTGTTTGCCAATGTCCAGACTTCTGAAAGGCAGCTGCATAACCCAATGTACCTGGATTTTATTATATATATATATGTATATATATATATATATACAGGTGAAACTCGAATAATTAGAATATCGTGCAAAGTTCATTTATTTCACTAATGCAACTTAAAAGGTAAAACTAATATATGAGATAGACTCATTACATGCAAAGCAAGATAGTTCAAGCCGTGATTTGTCATAATTATGATGATTATGGCTTACAGATCATGAAAACCCCAAGAACCCCAAATCCACAATCTCAAAAAAGTAGATTATTACATGCAATCAATAAAACAAGGATTGTACATAGAACAATATCGGACCTCTGAAAAGTACAAGCATGCATATGTACTCAGTACTTGGTTTGGGCCCCTTTTGCAGCACTTACTGCAATTACTTTTGCATGATATTCTATTTATTCGAGTTTCATCTGTACAGCATATATCTAGAGTGAGAGAGACAGACACACACTTCTTTTCTTACCTTATTTACCAGTGCAAAAGAAAGCATTGCTGTGTACAGCTAGCATGTCGTTTTTTACCTTCTATCAGTTTTTGGCAGTCACATTACAGAAAAATGATTGCTAATTAGTTTCTGCAGTTTAGTGCGCATTGCACATCACCCTTTGCTTTCTCAGTCAGCAAGTCTTGACTCTTAACTTTCGCTGTGGAGCATATTTTTTTCTCACTGATCTGAACATTTTTGTCACATCGCCCTCTCTCCCTGTTCTGCTTCATGCTCCACATAAAAAGGTCACTTCCATAACCTGCCAAGGACTGTACTGCAATGCCAAGCAAGAGACTCATAATTCACTCATAAATATTCAAGACTGTGGCCTAGATTTAGATGAGAGTATCATGGAAGAACAGTCCTGCGTTGTTCAGAGATGTAACAAGTAGTTTATAAAAGTCAGGCATATGAATATGACTATAGAGGGCATCTTTTTCGAATTCAAACCCAGTTGAACTTTTGGGAATAAATATTTATTTTAAAGGAGGATGCATGAAAACTATTTAAAAAAGGTCTTATTGTTATGTTCTTTATAAACGGCCCCCGTGCTAGTTGAAACATATCTTCCCTTGGCAGCAGGGTTCAGAGAAGGACCACTGCTCTTTGTGAAAAAAGGAATGTCTCAGCAGCCCTTGATTTGGTGATTGCAGAACTCTGGCTGTTACTTAGCCAGGGGGGTTTCATGTAGCATGCATTTTTGGCTAAGGATTAAATCGGGCTTTGAATTAACTCTCCACTAACATTTCTATACCTGTAGCTTGATGGAGTGCAGGATTAGGGCCACATACGGCCCCCAACGTTTTTTTAGCCATTATGTTGCCCAAGGCAAATTCCTATAAGTGTCCAAACAATGCCTCAAGTTTTCAACTATAAATATGAAATAAATATGTGCAGTGTATATTGTTTTGGGTGAAAGACTGTAGTACCTATAGATGGTGGAAAAGTAGAATCTTATTTTTATATTAATACTTGCAATTGGATAGAGCAAACCTGTTTACCACCAAATGGAATACCCAGTATCTGTATTTTCTCAATGTGACAACGAAGAAATATGGTACCAGTACACCTTGAGTCTTTGTTGCAAAGTCCAATTTTTAATAAGAAGAATCACATTTCATCGCAGAGACCACATATTAATACAACGTTGTGGGGCTGCGCACAATTGCTTAATTAGGCATGTGATCTTGGGGTCTTGGACAGCTCCAAAACATTGCATTGATGTGTGCACTTTTTACTGAGATGTGATTTTCTGATAAAGGATTGGATATCGTAACAAAGATCCGGGGTGTGCTGGCGACATGTTTCTTCTGTATCTAATACAGATACCAGTCAGGGGTTGCTGCTGGTACCTAATGTATTGCTTTTGAGTGATAGTGTGGTACAGGATGTTGAATGTTAATACCGATACCAGTTAGGAGTTGCTATAACACCCTAAAACTCTAATGGTCAGTTCCAGTATGGTGTTTGAAGGGAATACACTGATCACTCCAGGTGACAGTACTGAGACAGTTAGCTATGGTACATGGGGAGTCCATAGAGGACTTTTCTTTCATTCGCAGTGGCTAAAAAAAAAGGCATGGGGGAGCAAAAGGAAGGTAAGTATACATATGCAGAGGGCTGTTGTCTGTTGCTTTGCCTCGCATGGGCAAACAAGATTCACTTCAAGGATTGATTTACATGTTAACAGAGAGGGCTGCTATAATACTGGAGACATTTGTCAGACACTGCCATGTAAGATGGGCTTACCATGAGGGCAGCATTGTATAGGGATGACATGGTAGCTGGACTTTATCAGACACCCCAGAGACACTGCCATAAAAGCTGAATATTACAAGGAGACTACATGTTACCAGGGACAATGCCATGAGGTGCGTGTTACTTGGGACCATCCTATAAGCAGAAAAGTGTAATTTTTCATTTGCCAGAGTTATCCTCAGCATTAAAGTCAAGGATGCAAACATAAACCTGTTGGTTTCCCTGTGCATCAATGTAAATTTACGAAGTAGTTATTATTTATATTGATGTGTAAATACTGTGAATTACATTGACTACCCATAATAAAATTGGCTTGCTGGTAGAAGATAAAATGAAGTATATTACTGATTATGGAAAACTATTCATTATTAACTTGTTTATAAGTGGATCAATAAACAGTGATGGACAGTTAACAATGGCAACCAACTAGAAAGCAGGTACTCAATTTAGTCAGCCGAATGCTGCTAAAAGGGGATTTGTGATTGGTAGTATCTTGTAACTGCATAATTTTGTCCTTTATGAATAATAATAATAATTGCATATTATTTACCTGTGAAAGACTGCTGCTAGGTGCTGCCATATTGAATGTGAAGTCAGCAGCCCCAACTGTCACACAACTTACAATCAATAATATTCCCCTTTGCTCTTCTTCCTTTGCTACATAAAAGGTCATGTAGGGAGTTGATGAGAGGGGCGGATGAGCTTTGACAGAACAGAGAATAATTAGACACCCCCAGAGAGAGTGGGGTTGTGCTAAGGAATGAACTCTTCCTGTAGCAGTAAAATTTTGTAGCAAGTTCAAAGGCACAGTAAAAATAGATTCTGGAAAGGAAAAACATTGCAATTAAACAGTTAAAATATTTGATTTTCCTGTGCTTTTACCTGCAATTTTTAAGTTGGTGACAGGGGCTCTTTAAATAAACCCAGAAATATGATACCTATCAGCAAAAGTGAGAATTCTTTGTTAGAGCCCATACAGTACATATGACTGTATTGTGGCAAGATTTCAGATGTATTCTATTCGTTATTCTATGCCTTTGAATTATAGTGTATGTATAGCCAGTTTTGGGTAGAGTAGGGGTTAGAATCCCTGCCAAATGTGTATTTCTGTCTATGTCTCAATAGAGAGATTATGCCTCTCAATTCGTCCTTTTGGCTATTGTACTCTATGGTTTCCTAACCATAAAAAGTTAGGAAATCCAAAATTGTGCAGTTGTCCCAAGAACAAGAGGTGAAAGTACATTTTCCAATAGGGACATCTTTTCTAGGGACAGCTGTCTAAGAGGGGAATTCCTGTTCTGTCATCATGACAGGAAGTGAAGGGAAATTTCCACAAAAAGACAGACAGCAAAAAAAAAAATGATAGAGGTTTGTATTCCTCCGTGTTCTATGCAAAACTGAAAAAATGGGTATACATATATTTAGCCAGTGCTTGACCAATTCACTGCCAGTGTGCTTAAGTTGTCACTTGTCAATAATCAAGATGTGTGGGTACATTCAGTTATCCCAAGCAAACGTATTCATTTGTGAGTAACTTTCTTCTTTATGTTCTTAGGTAGAAAGTGCTCAGGATTCAAAAAAGCAAAATATTCAGCTGGATAAATGTGAAATAGATCTGTCCCAACTGGAACAGGAGAATTCAGTCTTACGGGATTCCGTGGAACTACTAAGCAAAGAGATTTCCAAATGCCAGCAAGAGGCAATGGGTGTAAAAGAAAAGCTAAGCAGGTATTGGGCTTGTACATATAGACGACATGGACACTACTGAAAATGCAACTACCAGACAGTTTAAAGTGCAACTGAAGTCAAGGCTCTTTTTTTTTTAGCTTTGAATAGAGTGGAGAGGGATTAGAACCCTTGTCAGGTTTTTATTGCTGGCTGTGTCCCCATTACGGAGATTCACCCTCTCTGTTTTTCCTGATGATCTTTATTACATAAAGTGAAAGAAAATATCAAATATTTGGTTGTCACTATTGGCAACTACTGTTGACTATTGAACAGGAAGTGAAAGGAAATCTCCCCAATGGGACAGAGATGGCAAAAAAGCCAACAGGGGTTATAAGCCTCCCTTACTCTAAAAAAAAAGTTTTAGCTTCAGTGCCACTTTATGTCCAAAATCAGACATCTGGTAATCGCTTCTCGGCCTTTTGGCTAAGATCAAGTGTAGTATCTGTTCTTATCAGTTTCCGGTGGGGAAAAGAACCGTGCTTTTCGGGTGGATGGTTACTTAGTACTCGCTGGAGTGAAGGTTCGTGCTGGGCTGCTTCCTGTGAGAGGGGGGACAGCCTGGTATACAGCCTCCTGATGGAGCAGGTGCTTGCTTGGTCTAGCCAGAGGGTTCGGGGGCGGCAGAGGCCCGTGGTGGTGTGCCCCCTGGAGATTGCGTTCCAGGGGTGGCAGAGAATTACACTGGGTGTGGGACCCCAGCACTAATTCACTGGCACAAAGTCATGGCACCTATTGCATTTTCTGCACAACGCCTCTTAGACAGGCCTTATGGCTAGTCTGGGGCAATATTTTTGCACTCCCGCCCCTAAGGCTTGTTAGCATGGTGCACTGGCACTTTAGATTTATTTAAGCACTATATGCATGATTGGCACTTTTTGATTGACAATTTACCCACAGGTGCGGAGGGTGCGGGTACCTTCGGGGCCCATTCCTGACGTGGGGAGGAGATTCTGTGCCCTTATATAGGGTTCTCTGTCTCCTCCCACCTGTGGGGGGTTTCCCTTCGGGAGATCCCCACAACCTAGTACCGTGAGGGACCTGTTTCGGCAGGTCCCCAAAGGATCGGGGTCCGCCGGCCTTCGGGTTGGTGGACCATACTATTCCTAGCCACTGTCTGGAGCCTTGCGCCTCCGGGGTCGGGAAATTGTGGCCCCTTCTTAATTGAAGGACCAAGCACCCATGTACACGTTTTTGTGTGTTGTGATTTCACAATTCACTTTTTTTGTTCACAGGGGATTCATTTTCGAGCACGCTCCACGGGCTTTAAAAAAAAAAAAATCAGACATCTGGTAATGTTACCTTTTAAATCAGGAGGTATTTTGTGCTGTTGCCTTCTGTTGTCTTGAACTGCTGGATGTTTTCTGTCTACGTAAATGAAATGCACACCAAACACTACACCTTACCTTCCTGCAGGGCTTCACTGCTGTCTGGAATTAGGTACTGTGGAAATCAGGCGATTTGAAATGGCCCAAACCTTTTTGGCCATACTTCTCTTAAGGATCACAGGAGGACATATACTGTACTATTTCCTCTTGTGACCCAGAACTCAGCATACAGCGGGCTATTGCTCATTTCCCGATCCATAGAGCCGACTAGTGACATTAAAGCTGTAATTATGGGCAAAAGTGTACTTTACACACCCCAAAATTCTCTTTTAACACTGTGAAACTATTTATGTGTTACTAGACATATTGTTTGGTTGTTACATCCTGCTGGAACCTTTTTGTTTTTAAGAATACTGTTTTAGCTACATGTATTTGTTTTTTGTTTTTTTTAACAATCTTTTGTTTCATGGAAGAAATCAAGAAGAACTTAAACTAAAGCAAAGAATTGAATTGGACTCATTAAGGCAAAGTCACCAGCAGGAGATCCAGTCCATAGTGTCCAAGTTTAGCAGCGCTCAGACATTCCTTCAGGCGAAAATTGTTACCTTAGAAGCTGAGTAAGTTCATACTAACTTGGTTTGGTTTGGAACTGTGCTATTTTTTACTACAAGATCTCATTGTTAATAGAAGAATGAAATCTACAGGTGAGATTTGACTTGTCGGTATTACTACACTGAAAACTCGCAGATCCTGGAGATATTCCTCATGCTTATTCTTTGTAGAAAGATGATTTCTTCCCTGAGGGAAACAATGGTCTGCTGCATTGACCATTAGCAATATATGTTCATATTTTTTTGTGTGTAGCAGTTTGTGTTTAAACAAATTAAAAAATCTCACTATGACTCAGAAATTGTATAGCTAGAATAATACAGCTAGAAAGAAATGACATATTCCCAAGGCTATTTAGAACAGAGAAGTGTTCTGCCCCTAGCTCCTGTGTAGGAAAAGTCCATCCAAATAATATTCAAGTATTCAAAATAAAATGATGAACATTCCTAGAGGAAAATCACCATAGCTGAATCCATTACTTGACCTTTGCTTAACTTTAACCTCAGTTATCTGCATGGTTCAGCAGGATAATTCAGTATTTGTACTTCATAGGCATTTTGGTAGCATTCATCCTACACTTTGAAGTCTACATCAGATCACGCAAAGATGTGCAGGAGAAGGAAGATTGGTCAGTAAAAGAAAGATTGGTCAGTAAGAGGAAGACCAGTCAGTAAGAATCAGACAATCTCTTTCCAGCACTTCCATTAATCAGTGATGGACCAGCAGAACTACATTGTTACTGCAGAACTAAAAGAGGTTAACCTACCTCTCTTGTACCCCCCAAAACCCAAATAGGGATTTCAAGAACTAAAGTCAACCTGGGCCCCACTCTTGCACCTCACTATTAGTCAGTGAGGCTGCCCATCACCTTAAAAGACCAATGGTGCGGTACCTTGTGCCACTTCACTTTATACCTTTCCAATTGTAAGATCGAGTACCCCAATCTTCATGGCTCCTCGGGTGTTCTCCAAAGCACATATGTGTATCTTGAAGTGCCTGTTTTTTATGTCTGGCAGTGATTTACCGATTTTAAAGTGAAGATGTTCACTGTAAAGTAAGCATTTAAAATGTCTAAAATAGTGTTATTTGGTTTATCTGTCAATCTAGTTATGAGAAATGTGACAGCACTCATGACCGCCAAATATTTTCATAGCATTTCTTACTTTTCAAAGATGATATATTTTGTGCTTTTTTTTACAGTTAACTTTTCAGTTGACATTTGTTGTTAGAATTTCCTAATCCTAATCTCCTGAAAATAAATAGAAACCAAAATGATTTGTTTTCAGGTATTAGGTTCGTGTTTCAGGATTTCTGTATTGCTGAAGACATCTGTAGCTGAACATAAGAGATTTTTTAAATCAGACTTCAAACTGTTTTCTTATTTAATGTATACAGGCTGAAAGAGATGGAGGATAAGGAAAAGCATCAGCCACGGACGGAGGATCTACAGTTCATAAACAGCTTGCAGGATAAACTGTCCGATAAAGATCAAATTATTAAACATCTGCTGGTAAGATTATCCTCTTATAATCATTATTTCTCATGAAAGTACACCAGTTCAGTATCACCTTTTTTTCTTTTGGATTTTACTGCTTTGCAGAAGAATAAGGGACTCCAACCAGAATAATCTTAGATCATTTCTGAATGCATTTCCTGATTTTGAGCTTCATAAATACCTGATAATGAATTAATGTTGTGAGTTCCTTTACAAAAGCAAAAAGAAGTGTCTTTCATCAAATGCAGTAAACAGTGGGCTCGATTTGAAATCATATTTAATGTTGCCTCAAGGTAGGCATGTCAACATTCCAGACTAAGAAGAAGGGGAGTTTAGTGGTTTGCTGACTTATAACTTTAAAGCAGTCCCAAAGTGAAGATATCACTTTAGATACACAGTTCCCCCATGTTGCTTTCATAAAATAACAATGACAACCCTGACTGTTTGCTGGCACTGTCCATGGTGTCACAGTCTCAAGCAGGGCAGCCAATACTTGCTTCTGCCAAACAAAGAACTCCCCTTGGATGTGTCAGAAAAGCAGTGGTAGTGGAATATGATCGCCTAGATTCTACTAAATCAATGAATAGCTGTGATCAGTGGCTTGAAAAAAAAATGTGACCTCCCCATTACTACCACTGGGATTCCTATCCTCCCCTCTGCACCACTGTCCTGCCTGTTAGATCCATCCCCCTGCACCACCACCAATCTCCAGATGCTCTGTGCAGCTGCAGTGTGCTCTGTGTCCCCTCCGGTCCCCACTGCCTGTACCAGAAGTGACAGCGGGGATAGGTGGGGGACACTGAACCAGCAGAGTGCAGTTACACAAAGGATCTGTAACAGAAGGCTGGGGTGGTACAGAGACAAGGATCTGAGAGGTGTTGTGGCGGTGCATGGGGGAGGAGATGAGGGTCACTACTGAGAATGAACACAGTGAATGGTCAGTGCTGATAACTCACTGTGTCCATTTATAACAGAACTGATTTTGAACAGCGAGTCACATGTTTTGTTATTAGTTATTTTTTTGAATGGACACAGGAGCGATCAGCGCTGATTGCTTCTTTGTTCATTCATAACTGAACAGATAGCAAACATATGACTTAGTGCTTACTATGATTGAACACAGTGAGTGATTAGTACTGATATCATACTGTGTTCCATGGGGCAGTGCGTTCTGGTCAGAATTGGACCGGAACGCACTGCTTGCTTTGCGGCCGGCTCACTTTTTTGCTGGGCTGGAGGGGGCGTGGCAGGCCATTGAAGTGAATGGCACCGTAGCCACGCCCTGTGGCCGCAATGCGACCGCCTGCACAGGTTTGCAAGGGACATTGTGCCTGCAGTGCGTTCCGGTGCGATCAAAATAGTTTTGATCGCAAAAAAAATATATGGGGTCTCTTTAGACACCTAATATTTCCCCAAGGTCCCCACTACTGTAACAATAAAAATAAACAAACATGTAAAAACATGAAATAATGTAAAATTAAAAAATAGAACTAACGCCTCAGCATATTTCTGCTGTATGCATGAAACTGTACACCTGTTACGTACATACAGAGATGGATGCGTTGCCCTGCATACAACCTGTCTGTGTCCATGTTATGTATATTCTATTGCACTCCTGACTATAAAATCCCAACTGAATCAATGGTTGGTGCTGCAGTGATGACCAAATGGTACCACGTTAAGAGCAATTAAATGAAGAATCACCGGCACTCCAACGGTGAAGCAATACGTCTTTTTTTGACGGATGTTCACAATATCATAAAGCAAAAAACAACAACAATGTAAATTACATTGTTTGCCTGATGAAGGGACCTCATGCGGTTCCTAAATGTCATTGTTGTTGTTTGCTTTGTGATATTGTGAACATGCGTCAATAAAAGACATATTGCTTAACAATTGGAGTGCTGGTGATTCTTCTTATTACTGTCTGTGTCCGTGGACACCCATACATCCCTATATGCATGTCACCAATTGGATGTGCGGTTACATGTGTATAGCAGAGTTATGGTGCTTCTTAACACCTTATGGCCCTTTGCAGTCTTGAGGCCTCATCCCCCCACATGCAAGAAAAATAACACAGATACATTATACATGCTTTACACAGATTGTGGTAATGCATGTTATGTGTGTTGGTGTTCTGCATAGTACTAACACACTGAAGTTCCATTTACACCAAAGGAGGCTAAAAGTGGAGCGCAGGGCCTGACAGTGAAAGGGATAAAGGACACATGTGCTTTCATAACCCATCTCCACACCTAATTCATCAAATTAGAAAATATATGCACAGACCTCAAATACGGATGAATGGTTTTCTCAGCCATGGCTTGCGCAGTGTACATAGACTGCAGCACTGTAGCTATTCTCTAAAATGCCATATATACACATGCCCTGGTCATAGAGAATACTGGCAGTCTCTGGACTTCCCTATCCAACTTCCCTGTGATGATTCCAGTCTATGCTCCATGTATAGCTTGTTTAGCAGCTAATAGAGTCTCCCTATCCACCTTATAGTATAGTGAGCACTTACAGGATTGCTGTTCAAGGTTGTAACTATAAACAGCCGCCATAACTATGGATTTTCTATAACCACTCTATTTCATGCACATTGTTTAAAATGCATGAGCATTCTCTTTATGTCATTGAATACTTTTTTTTCTGGCTTATACATCATGATATATCCCGATACTCCCGTACTGCCCTGGCTTCTCCAAAATCTAGACATGGTTTCTACGGGTTACTGAACTTGACACATCATTTCACTTAGCACTGCTTTGTGAAGTCCATGGCTAGCATGAAGAAAGTTCTAAATAATCTGCCAATATTGTGGTAGTTTAAGTCTAAACTCATTACCGTACTGTAAACACTAGATGGCAGAACAGACTTTATTAGAGAAGCTGCTTTGTTCTGTTGTGTGTTGCTAACCTTATGATCGAAATTGCCTAGAAGGTGACAGGCATGATGTAAGTTTAACACTCTTATTTGTCAAGAAAGCCAATGTGTAAATGCATTTGCAAACAGCTTTAAGTGGCTTATTAGTATAGCAACTGAAGAGAAATAGATGTGCAAGATACACCATGAATAGAAATGTTACAGTGGCCAAGGTATTTCTATCCATGGATATCAATGTAGGAATAAAAGAGGTTATTTTATAACTTATTATTTTCTAATAATTAAAGCATATATATATAACCCTCTTTCTTCCATGATGCACCACAGGGTGCCTGTGTGACCAGTCATGAGGTCTGATTCATGTCACATGGGGTGGGTAGAGAGTCCAAAGCTCTGTGTTGGCTCTGACCAAATCAACTTGGAGCATGCACAGAGCTTCTTCTCTTAAATCAGGCAGAGGAATAGGACATCATGAGAGCAGCGGAAGGTGAGTATACCCAGCTGAGGGTCAGCAATTAAGTTAACCTTTCCAATAGAATATAAAACAACTTGTGGTATAAATTACGCCACATACACCTTGGATTACGTTTGGTGTTACACTAGTCACAAACCATACTGCTCAGTATATGTACCGTGTTTCCCCGAAAATAAGACACTGTCTTATATTTTTTTTGCCCCCAAAAAAACGCACTAGATCTTATTTTCAGGGGATGTCTTTTTTTTTTTTTAATGTGCAACAAAATGTGCAACAATCCAAAGTTATCTGGTATCACCGCCTGTCACAGTAACTGGCGCTATAGAGGAAGTATCGGCTAATGCGGCTCTTCTCCCTCCACCGCCGCAGCCTTGCTTTCGACAGCGCCGACTTCCTTTGCCATCAGGGACGATGGTAGCAGCGGTGTAGCAGTGGGGACATCAGACAGTGGACAGCGCGGTAAAGTACGGTACCATTTACCAATACACATTACAGTTCAGTACCATTACATTAAGCCAAAGGTAGTCAAACTCCGGCCCTCCAGCTGTGGTGAAACTATCATTGCCATGATGCTTCTCTCTCCAGGAGTCATGTCTGTGGCAGTGAGAATCTTGCAATGCCTCATGGGATTTGAAGTTGCACCACAGCTGGAGGGCCGGAGTTTGGCTACCCCTGAATTAAGCAGTGCCTTCAGGGGGACAGCAGTTGGTGAAGTATGGTACTGGAGTGCTCCCTGTCACTGCGCTGGCCGGAGGGAGTCCCCTGTCACCCCCTTAATACAGTATGTCCCTGCAGGCTGATACCATCTCTCCTGCTCTTCAACTTCCCCCTCACATGCTACCACCAAACTAGGTCTTATTTTCGGGGTAGGTCTTATATTACAGGAATCTTGAAAAATAGTGCTAGGTCTTACTTTCGGGGGAGGTCTTATTTTCGGGGAAACAGGGTAGTATGTGAAAATACATCACCTCCTTGGTTTTTCATATACTATTCTCTAGCGTTAAAGCAGAAAGTCTGCATTACTCACCTACCCTACAGGAATACATGTCTGCGGGTTCCCTCACCAATATCAACACCCTCTTCTTGGTTAGGAGTCTTCAGATATCTTGAATGGCAAGCCCGGGAAGGCATAACTCCTAGCTTGTGCATGGGAATTAATTTATCCCAACAATGAGGCACCGACTTTGGACTCTACCATTTGTGGCGGCGTCCCTGTTTTCCTTGATAGGGTTCACTTTTGGTCATTCCCCATAGTGGATCCGCAACTCATCATTGGAGCCACTAGTCTAAAGGATAAGGTTCCACCCTTCCTTTTCACAGCACACTCAACCAGATCATTTGACTTTTCAGCATTAGGCATCTGTTTCTCAGATTTGCAAGGCTGCCACCTGGGCTTCTCTTCACATATTTGTTAAATTTTACCAAATGGATGTTCAGACTTATCTGATGCCAGGTTCAGTTGTAAGGTACTTTAGGCTGCTCTCTGAGTATATTTGAGCCCTTCTTTTGACCAGTTGGTTGCATGGGCCTGTTGGCATCTGCAGTGTTGCCCACCCCGTCAGTTGGACTGCTTTTGGCTGTCCTATGGTTCCTGAATGAAATCCTGTGTCAGGATCTGGATCTGATTCCAGGGCCTCTGCTGTATATGACAGCGGTTCTACCTGCTGATCCACCTTGTATAGCTCCTTCCCTGATCTCCTGTGTAATCCTCAGTTAAAGCCAGTTTTTTGCTGAACTCTAAATTCTTTGCTGCTCCCCATGCCTCTGCACTTCCTGTTTGCCCAATTATTGTGCTCTTGACTATATCATGCTTCCTACTCCTACTGCAATACAATCCCCTCATACTGCTATTTGTCTTCCACTTAATACCTGATACCTTTGGCTACTGACCTCAGGTTGATCTTTGACTACGATTCTGCCTGCTCCTGTACTACTACTGTCTGCTTGTGTACCAAACCCAGCCTGTTATATCATGAATTTGCCTGCTGTTTCAGCTACTGGACTCTGTGCCTGATTCCAGATCGTGACTTAATATACGATTAAAAAAACAGGATTTTTGTCTTACCTGTAAAATCCTTTTTTTTTAAATACATTACAGAACACAGGTCCCTCCCCTCTGCTTGTTTTGGCCCACTCCTATTATTGCTTGCTAAAAAAAAACTAAGTCACTAATATGTATTCCATTCTATATGTCATGCAGCTGGGATTGCTTGATAATATACTACTTATTGGAAAATATAATGGTGTAAACTGGGATTCCCCAATAAATGCTGTCTTGATATCATAAAAATGGAGTTTAGCATTGTTTTATCTACCCCTTTAGAACAGTCTTTGCCACAGTATAATTACACAATACTACTGTTACAGTATATAATGTTATCTGAAAAAGTGGCCATTGCAATATAAAACATCCATTGCTGTTGTTGGAAATCTAGGAAGACAGAGAACACTCCCATTCATATAATAAAGATTTAAAGCATTATTATTATTATTATTTTCCAGGAAGTTCAAACCTTTGATGATGACATTGCAATGCCGCTTATTCAGGAAACACACAGAAGTCAGTCGTTTTCCTGCAATCCAAATGGTGGTAGTTTAACACCCACAATGAAGGTAAAAATCTTAAGGTATCTTATGTTTTATCTGTGTTTGTATGTGATTGTCATCAGCAACTGTATATATTTTCAACATCTGCTTATCCAAATGTATATCATATTACAAACATGTTTAATGCTTTAAAGAGCTCATTGAATTGAATGAAGAGGGTAGCCATAGACATGTACTCATCCTTAAAGTAGTGCTGCCATGAGAGAAGTACAGAGGCTGCTATTGCTAGGTATGTTTTTTAAATTACTTGCTGACAGACCTGGAACATGCACGTTGTAAATGTGAGTGTCAGAATGTCTTATCCCTATACTTGATTCAGATCAGTAACTCAGGAAGCATAAAAGCTAGAGCATCATAATGACAGCCTGGCAACCTGCATTTTCAGAAATAAGTCATCAATGGCAGCCTCAATGAATCTCTCATGACAGATTTTCTCTAAAGCAACCCTGTGCTTTGCCCATGTAGGTTCACTTGAAAATGAACAGGGCACAAGGCACGACAGGCAGAACAGGGCACCTCTGCCGAGGTTTGGAGATTAAAGCACAAGCAGTAAATGGGCTTTAAAACAAGCTATCCCTGACCTCTCTAGCTGCATCTACTTTGATGTCACTCATTCTCAAACATCACAACAAAGGCTCTAAAGTCCAGTTCAGTTGGTATCAAACAGCTTAAAAACAGCTCCTGTATGTTTACATTAGAGGGCTGTCAAGCTGCTTAGACTTTACTTCTACATAATATAGCTGAGATTTCAATGGTTTCTTTACCTTTGAAGATGAATTTCTCCACTATGCCTATTGTTGCAGGTTCAGAATCAGGGCTTGTGTTTTACTACCTGTTCAGAACATTTAAATGCGTTAGTGTTCATAGCCTTGGCACTGCTTCACTTACTAACAAAATGCATAAAGTGCAAGCAGCTATAACAGGCAATTCTCTGGGAGTTTTCATGGAGGATTTTAAAAGGTAACTTCACCCTTAGTGAAGATGTCCTTGATAAAGCCCCCACCCGCCTGAGTGCAGACAACCTGAGTTTATATTAGCTTTAGCCCCAATCCAGGGAATGTTCCAGGTAAAATTGTCTATTAAGTCAGCTATTAGTATGAAAATATTGTAAGGCATGCTGACTGTAAAGACAAGTTTTTTTTTTTATTGTTTTACTTGCAGAAAAAGAAGTTGGGTGAGATAACAACCCGTGTGATCAGTGTTCCCAATCTGGCAGCTTATGACAAAACCTTTACAAACAACAGTGTCAGCTCGAAAAAGCCATCAAGTCCTATAAGGACGTCTCCCAGCGTAGTTCACAGCATGAAGCCTGGCTATCCTTTCCGACAACCTGCACAGCTTCTAGATATCATCCGGCCAAATAGGTAACAATGTTCAGCTGTTGTATCATAACAAAGGAATGATGGTCATACAGATCCTTTTGCCTTCACTTTTTAATCCCCTAAAGTAAACCTATATTTTTTTAAAGATTCATTCAAGACAACAAGTGAAACCAGACAGTTAATTGCATTGAACACCCCATTCTGAGTTTGCTCTCCTCAGGGGTGGGGTGTGTCTCCCTCTGAAATCTATGTGTGCATACAAGTATTTTACCATCATGTTTTTTTATAAATGTTTCTATGTATTTATGATACTCATTTTGTTTGATTGAAGGCGGAACCCTGCCAGTGTACCCTTGAAAACAGAGGTAAAGGAACAAGAGTCCAAACGCCCAGAATGGTTTACAAAGTATTTTTCATTCTGAGAAGAATACAGAGCTGAAGTCACCACTGAGCCGATGAATGATCTGTATTACTACAATGTACACATTTCACTGCCATACATGTTATGTTGTAAATTTTAATTTTGTTAATAAAATAATGATGTGAGCTTTTTCATTAAATTAAATTGCTTCTTGGTAATAAAAATGCAAGAAAGTACTGCCAGGCATTTTATCTTCTTTTTTATTTTCTTGTTTTCCTTGTGGTAGCACTACCTGCTCAGAATTTATACATACCCTTCTGAAAATTTTTAGATACTTTCAAATTTTTGTAGGGAAAAAGTCTAAAGCTGGCCATACACCTTACAATTATCGTTCAATTTTTTTTTTTGTCCTGTCATCAAACCCCTGTTCAAATTCCGCTCAAATACCCCATCATGCACAGACCTATATTGTTTTCGATTATCGTTTGTTAGCAATACTAACTGGCCAAATTAATTTTGTCGATCAACAGAATGGATTTTTATTTGCCCATGTGCAGTGTTCATGTTGCAACTTTTGTTTTACGAAAACGCCACTAATCCATTGATTTTGATCCATTTCGACAAAAGTTTTTTTAAATAATAAGTGTTTATTAAGGGTTTTAACACAATTAACATGAAAGACATGTAAACATGGAGATCAATGTAATACAGAGTCACGTAAATACACTCCATCGTGAGAAATAGGCATATGCATGTATATAGATACATTCAGCTCCTAAAACACGGGGATACACAGATTGAATCAAGTATTGTATGGTAGGTGTCATATTTCAGTAACAGCTAAGTATGACTCGGTCAGGAGCCCTTTAAGACTGGGTAACATGATCGCATTGTCTCCCATCCAACCAGACAACATTAAGAAAAGAGGACAAGGAACGAAGCACATAAAAATCACAGGACGAAGGGGACAAAACATTTTGGCGGGGGGGTGCTTGCCAGATTGAGAGGCAAGTCGGGGTGGGAAACATTTAGGGAAAGACGTCTAGTGGGGAGGGCAGAGGGGGAGGAAAGGAGGGGTTTCCGCCGGACCCAATGGCGCATTCATCTCCTACTGTGGCGTACTGAGACATAATAAATACAATGCACTAGTCAATAGTCCATCAGGGGGCCACTGGTCATATTACAGGGCTCTAAATGCTGCTGAGTCCATATATAAAATCCAAGGGGTCCACAAGGTTGCACATTGAGATTGACGCTCATGTAGAGAGGCCGTCAGCTCTTCAAAGCGCATGATCAAACCCACTTCGGCAATCCACTCCTGCAAGGTTGGGGCGACCACCGTATTCCAATGGCGTGGTATCACGTTCCGGGCCGCAGCCAGGAAGAAGCGGAGTAGATCCTTCTTAACGGAGGCTATGGAGCCAGGTAGAACAGAGAGGAGAGCAATCTTAGGTGAGGCTGCTAGGTTCGTCCCCATGACCTGGTTATAAACATGGAAGACCTTGTCCCAAAATGGTAGCAGGAGCGAGCATTCCCACCAAATATGCAGGAGGGTCCCTTCCGAAGCCAGGCATCGCCAACATAGCGAGGGCCTGTCAGGGAATATTCTATGTAGGAGAGTTGGGCTGCGGTACCACCGGGTTAAAATTTTATAGCCTTTTTCTTGAGCCGAGCAGGCCACCGTAAGCTTATGAGTAGTAATGCAGGCAGTTCGAATCTCCTCCTCCGTAAGGGTAACCCCTAAGTCCTCCTCCCATCTAGTTATGAACGGTAAACGTCCCTGAAAGCGCATCGGGAGCAACTGACAGTAGAGGAGAGAGATAACATGTGTAGGCGGGTCATCCAGGCGACATAGAGACTCAAACCAGGAAAGAGGGCGATGTAGGGCGGCCCGGTCCCCCAGCGCGGTATAGTACGCACGTAGTTGGAAATATGATAGCCAAGCTCCGGGCGTGTGGGGACGGTCCGCAAGTAGGGTGACCAGGGGTTTCAGGGTCGCTCCCACGAGGGCCTCGGCCAAGGGTGAAGGCTCTGTGGCTGACCAAGAGAGGAAACTAGATGAGGTGCAGCCGGGTGGAAACGCCGGATTGCCCATAATGGGAGTCATGGGGCCCACATAGGAGGACAGGGCCGATGTCTTGAGAAGTAGATCCCATGCTTTTAGAAGCGGAGGAAGAGCAAAAGGGAGAGTCGATGAATGAGGGCGATGATACGGGGCAATCCATGGTACTGAGAAAGGAAGCACCGGTGAGACTAATGACTCCAGGAAAACCCAAAGTTTGTGTGCTCTGCTGTGTTTCCATCCTCTGGGTCCGCCAGGACGGGAGACATGTCGGCTGGCTGGGAGGAGGGTGAGTCAGGGCCTTGTGGGGAGACTCCACGTGGGGCCGCCGTGCGGCCTGCAGATCGGGTAGATGCCGGGGCCGCAAAGAAGCTGGAGATCGCGGCTCTCGGGGTCTGTGCGCGGTCCGACTTGGAGCCCTGTGACTTTTTGCCCCTCTTGGAGCCCATGATGAGCGTTGCTGAGGCACTTTAGTGCCGATGCCCGGTCCGGTTTTGCGGAGCTAAGGACGTGTACGTCTAGCCGCCGCCATTAGCAAGCTCCGCCCCTTCTTCAACAAAAGTTTTATAGTTTGCCCGTTCAACGAAATTTGGCCAGTTGTACAGTAATTGTGATCGTGCACTTCCCATAAACTGGCCGATAATCGCAAAGTGTATGGGCACCTTTAAGCTGCCGGCAGCTGTCAGAGAATACCCGACCAGAGCAGGCAGATCATTGGCTGCCGTCTCTGATTGATTGAAGATTTTCCGACCGGCTTCTTCGATCAGCTGATCGAGGGATGCCGATCAAAAGGGTGCTGACAGCGGCACACACTGTGCGAACTTCGACCGGTTCCTGGATAACCGTCCGAAATTCGAACAGTGTATGGGTGCCTTCATAGTGCATTGTACAGTACACAGTCATAGTAATGCAGAGTATAAATGGGGTGCATGATGGAGGTCACTGTTAGAAATGAGATTCGGGTTTGGGTTTGATATGGTTTGATGAGAAACCAGCCTGTTCAGGGATCATGGACCCAGAAAGCTAATGCATGATTTTGTTGCCATCGCAAACAACTAACCATAATACTGATACTGGTGGCACCATCCGCAGTCACTAAGAGCACTCCCCACGAGCACTCCCCCATTACACAGGATATTCAGTAAGGAGTGCGACAAGCAAGTTAAAGGAGAACTATGGGGTCAGTGTTTTTCTCCATAGTTCTCCTTAGGGTAACGGGAGGACACAAACTAGCGTCCTCCCGTTACCCTAAGCTGAGTATACCGCGAGCTACTGCTCACCGTATACTGAGACGCCGCACCTGGAGCAGATCCCGACGTAAATGACGGGATCCGCCCTGCTGCGTGAGTGACAGCTGGCTCTGCCTACCTAGAGGCAGAGCCAGCTGTACCCGCCCCCTCCCCCGTCCGTTCTGCCAGTCAGCGCTGGCAGATCGGAGGGGGGAGAGGGGAATTCAGCCCCTCCCCCTGTCACGGCAGAGAGCCGTGACAGGATCGAGAGGTGAGGGAACCTGGTATGTGTTCCCTCACCTCCCGATCTACTGAGCCGACCTGTGACAGTCTCATTGTCACAGGTCGGCTTAGAACTATGAGGTGAGTGAAAAGCACTCACCTCATAGTTCTCCTTTAAGTAGTATCTGTTTTAGCCACAGACACATACAGAGTGGGGTAGCTAGTTCAGTGGCTGACACAAATCTCCTGTTGTTCCATCTTCCAGGCACAGAGCATCCAGTTATCCACTATAGCCCCGCAAACTGGCAAAGTCAGAATAATTATTTAATCACACGCTGCATCACTTGATGCAAAAGGATGATCTTGGTCAAGTACTCCTACAGAAAAAGATACCCTTTCAGGTGCTATCTTTAAAGATTACAGGGTACCTATGCTTCACATTTCCCTATACAGTTTACATCTCCCTACTAAACACAACAGTGTATATCTTAAAGTACTGTTATGAATCACATCAAGTTGTCCTCAATACAGTTTCAAAATTATACGGTGGGGTGAGGGTGACCTTCTTTCTCATAAACCAGTTCTTTACAGAACTGTGGAAAATATTTCTAAAATGCAGAAGATGTAGACATCAATCAGGGAACAGTAATAGGCAGTGATGTTGCAGCAGCTGGGGATTACTGTCAGATAGGCTCCAGTGTTAAGGAGAGGGTGGATGACACAGTGATAGTCCTACAGTATGTTGGTGCCACCAGATGGTAAGGAGAAAACCTCTGAGGGAAAAGCAAAACAGCAAAGTGGGAGGTTTTTGTCCAAGGACAGAGGCAGATTGTAGGGGGCTGGAGGGAAAAGCTGTCCTAATCCATCTGGTGGCACTGCCCAACAGGTACAGGCCACTGTTTTCCCAAGGCAAGTCCACAGAGCTCTGCCCCACAGGTACAGGCCACTGTTTTCCCAAGGCAAGTCCACAGAGCTCTTTAGTGTGGTCAGAAAATCACCTGTGCAAATATGGTATCAGGACAGGCTCTGAGGAACTGGGGTTATTTTCACTGTGTGAGTGGCTCATCATCCAGTATGCATGCAGCATCTTGGCAGCATTTGAAGAGGTGACCCGAACTCTGAACTGAAGCAAGGAGGGGATAAGTGATGTGATCCCTTTAGTGTTCCTCCCGGAGCACACACTCTGAGGCTTTATAGGCCAGGCACTGATGGCACAGCAGTAGGAGGAAGAAGAGGACTTACTTCTGTCTTAGTGCCAGCAGCATCCTTTTCCTGCTGCTTCTATCCCTGTTAGGCAGAGAAGGAATACAAGGAGGAGAAGGGTTGGGGTGCCAGCAGTGATAGGGAGGAGGAAATGGGTCAGGCTTCAAGGAGGGTGCATTACTCTCAAAACCCAGGAGATCTTCATGAGTGGGGATGAGATTGTTGAGAACAGTGTGGTCCTTAGCGACACCAAGGACTCTGCATCCTCTGTTGCAGGTAATGTATGGCAAATGGGCTCCTTTATGTTTAAATGCCTGTGCAGGGACTCTAGAAATCAGGCTGTGAAAAGGGGGACCACTATTGGAAGGTACCCCTATTGAATACCTAATAAAAGGAGAAAATGGCTGATCTACTGCCACCATTCCAGAGGGAGTCCAAAATGTGGTACCTTGGATTTTGTACCAGTAGTAAGCAGTAGATATATGCCACAACATAATAGCGCCATTCGCTCCCGGCTGCAGA